AATGAACCATCTTCACAGTCCCAGCCTTTGTAAGTTCACGAAGGAAATGAAAGCGAACATCTATATGTTTGTTGTGTCCATGCATTACTGGATTCTTGGAAAGCTTGATTGCTGAACTTTTGTCACAATAAACTGTGGTGGACTGACTTTGAATGTGACTTAGCTTTTCCAAAACTCTTCTCAACCATACAACTTGACAATCACATGAGATTGCAGGTATGAATTCTGCCTTTGTAGTGGATAAAGTTACTACAGACTACTTTCTTGAAGACCATGACACTGCCCCTAAACTCAATAAAAACACATCCTGAAGTGCTTTTCCTATCATCCAAGTCCCCAGCATAATCACTATCTGTGTAAGCAATCAATTCCTCATTTCCTCCCTTCTTATAGAAGATACCAAGATTAGTAGTACCTTTCAGATACCTCAAGACTCTCTTTGCTACTTGTAAGTGAAGCTCAGTAGGATTTCCCATATATCTGCTGATAAGACTCACTACAAACATCATGTCTGATCGAATAGCTGTCAAATACATGAGACTTCCTACAACCTGGAACAATTGGATTATGCATCGGATTGCTTTTATCCATCCCAAACCTCTCCAATACTTCCAGAGCATATTTCCTTTGACTAATGTAGATGCCAGTAGACCTTTGCATTGCTTCAATACCAAGAAAGTATCTCATCTTCCCAAGATCAGTCATGTCAAATTCAAGCATCATAGATCTTTTAAACTCAACAAACATTGACTCATCATTACTAGTGAATATAAGATCATCAACATAAAGACTCACACTCAATATTTTACCTTCTTTTGCTGTATTGGCAAACAAAGTGTGTTCACAAAGGCACTTTTCGAATCCTCCCTTCACAAAATAAGATTCAATACGACTATACCATGCTCGTGGAGCCTGGTTGAGTCCATATAAAGCCATTTTCAGCTTGTACACCTTCTGCTCATCACCCCTCTTTTCATAACCATGAGGTTGCTCCACAAAAACTTCCTCACTCAATTCACCATGTAAGAAGGCTGAATTTACGTCTAATTGGTACATGGTCCATTCCTTTTGAGCTGCAAGTGCAATCACCAAGCGGATTGTGTCTAATCGTGCCACAGGTGCAAACACTCCCGTATAGTCGATCCCATGTTGCTAAGCATACCCCTTTGCTACAAGTCTAGCCTTGTACTTGTCTACTTCTCCATTCTCATTGAATTTTGTTTTGTAAACCCACTTTACTCCAATTTTCTTTCCTCCAGTAGGTAATTCTGTCAGTTCCCATGTATCATTCTTCTCTAGTGCTTCTATCTTCGAATCCATAGCTTTCCTCCATTTTGCACTCTTCACAGCATCTTTATAATAAATTGGATCAACATCTGTAAACATGGCCAAATTAGCCACATCTTCTTCTTCTGAAAGTCCCGCTCCACTTACATAATCTTGCATCCAGATTGGTGCTTGCCTAATTCTCCCTTCATTTGAGGTAGGTGAGCTCTCTTTAGTTGGATCAGCTGAGGACTCATTCTCTTTTCTTCTTCTCTACCACCTAGAAGGTCAGCTGCATTTTGTACTCCATTGTCATCAGCTACAGTAGCTTCTTGTTCATCATCACCCCATTCCAAGTCAACAGGAATCACTTCTTCATGTCTCTTGTCCCAATCCTAACTCTTATCTTCTTCAAAGACAACATCTCTGCTAACTATGATCTTTTGAGAAACTGGATTATATAATCTATAAGCTTTTGACTCCTCACTCACTCCAAGAAAAACACAATTGAAACTCTTGTCATCTAGCTTTGTTCTTTTACTGTCAGGTACATGAACATAAGAGACACATCCAAAGACCCGAAAATGATCAATTGATGGCTTCACTCCACTCCAAGCTTTTTCTGGAGTCATGTTTCTCACTGCTAATGTTGGACTCCAGTTCAGAACATGTATGGCCCAATTGACTGCTTCAAGCCAGAAGGTTCTTGGTATCTGCTTCTCTGAAAGCATACTACGAACCAAATTCATAATGGTTCTATTCTTTCTTTCCGCAACCCCGTTTTGCTGTGGAGTGTATGTTGCTGTTAACTGTCTACTTATACCACTTTCTTTGCAAAAATCAGTGAACTCTTGTGATGTGAATTCACCTCCACCATCAGTACGTAGACATTTTATGTATAGGCCTGTTTCTTTTTCAACATGGTTCTTATAGTCTTTGAAAGTAACAAGAGCTTCTGCCTTCTCAATCAAGAAATAAACCCAAGTTTTGCGACTAAAATCATCAACGAAGCTAATCAAGTACCTTTTCTTACTGTTCGAGATGGGTTTGATTGGACCGCAAATATCAGCATGTACTAATTGCAGTCTTTGAGAAGCCCTCCATGTGCTTTGCTTTGGAAATGGATCTCTCGGTTGTTTTCCAACCATGCAATCTTTACACAGCCTCGAAGGAGTCTTGAGTTGTGGCAGGCCATTCACCATCTTCTTTTGTTGGAGAGTTTTCAGACCTTTGAAACTCAAATGCCCATACCTACAGTGCCACAGATGAGTCTCATCTTCTGTGATTGTGTTGAAACAAGTAGAAGCTCTTGGTTGAGATTTAGCCAATAAAATAAACATCCTGTTTGAGGTCATTTCACTCTCAGTGATCAGACCTCTCTCAGGATGATATATCTTACACTTCCCACGATGAATCAAGATTGCAAGTCCCTTTTCTTGTAGCTGTCCAACACTTAGTAAGTTGTTCTTCAACTCAGGTACATAGAACACCTCAGTGATGATCTGAATCATTCCATTAACTTGCAGCCTGACGTTGCCTTTTCCCATCACAGTCATTCTTGAGTTGTCTCCCAACTTCACGGATTGCCGAAAATCACTATTGAGATCAGAAAAGAAACCTTTGTTCCTACACATGTGATTGTTGCATCCGGAGTGAAGAAACCATACATCTTCTCTATTAGCATTGTTAATCTCCACATAAGACATCAACAACATCTCCTCCTCAAACTCTACATAATTAGCCACTTCCCATTTCGGACATTCAAACTTAAAATGTCCCAGCTGATGACAACTGTAGCACTCCATAGTGGACTTATCAAAGCTTTGTCTGCCTCTGCCTCTTCCTCTTCCTCTGAAACTTCCACGTCCTCGACCCCTTCCTCCAAACTGATCTTCATGAGTGACTTTCAAGGCTTGTTCCTCTATAGCATGACCGTTCATGCGTTGCTCGTGCACAAGAAGACTACTTTGTAGCTCATCAATTGTTAAAGTGTCTAAATCATTAGACTCCTCAATAGAACACACAACATAATCAAATTTTGGAGTCATAGACCTCGGAATCTTTTCAATGACACCAATATTCTCCATTTTCTCACCGTGTATTCTCATTTTGTTGATTATGGTGAGAGTTCGAGCGAAGTACTCATCCACAGATTCTCCTATCTTCATAAGAAGGATTTCAAACTCCTTACGAAGAGCTTGAAGTTGTGCCCACCTGACTCTTGTTGTGCCTTGGTATTTCTGCTTCATTGAATCCCAGATGTTCTTTGAAGTGTCTTTGTTGAGGATAGTCTCAAGAATTGTTCGATCGATCGCCTGGAAGAGATAGTTCTTCACTTTCAAATCCTTCAGCTTCTACTCCTCAATGGTCTTCTGCACTGTGTCTGAGGGTATTGATCATTCTGCTGCTGCAGGAATTTCATTCTCCACTAGTGCCCAATAATCCTTTGACCACAAGAAGTTCTCCATGAGCATAGACCAATGATCATAGTACCCATCAAACTTTGGAATTGCTGGTTGTACAAAGCTGCTTTCTGACACCATACTCTCTCTGCTACACTTTAAGAAGACTGCTGCTTCTTAACTTCAGTCAGGCCCCGTGATGAGGCTCATACCAAATCTTAAGCACCAAAAACTGTAAGTAGAATATGTAGTATTTGGGAAAGTTGTTTTTGTGAACAGAACTAGCTGGCTATTATATAGCCTTAAAACAAAACAGAAACACTAAAAATACAGCCTACACACAACAACTTCCTACTGCGTGGTATAGAGCTAGAGAATAGGTCAAACTAAACAAACACTCCCTGAACAATAGGGATTATTCCACAAAACTATAACAACCTAAACCAAATCCTAACAACTTAACACTGCCTAGTGCCGGGAAAATGACGCCTTTCTAGCTATTTTGTTAGACAAATCGGAAGATGTTATGGAGAAGAAAGACGACTATGAAGAAGGCGATGTGATTTAGTACACGGCAGAGAACGTACAGGTTATGGAGGAGGCCGCCGTACAAATTCCGGCCAGCAACCACAAGGGTTTGGCTAGGAAGGTGTTACCGGACATGTTGGGGTTGTTCAATTTGCATTTATATGGGGCCTTTGGAGTCCAAATGTGTAAGTGGAAGGAACTGTGTCATGACCGGTATTAAAAACATCTTCCCGATGGTAATGACGAAAATGTGTAGTGAAACGTTATGGGATAATCTTGTGGGGGCTGATTGGAAGTCATCATAGCGTTATTATCGTACCATCATGTCTGTACAATGACGAATCAAGAATTGTATAAAATTGTTGTATTCTACAAATGGATTATCATGTAGCAGGTAGCACGTGACAACCATAGCTTACGAAGTGGCATCGTTCTTACAGCATAAAGTGTAGAGTGTTTCCCACATATTAGCATTTACCTCTATAAAATTCTCTTTTTACCCGTCATCAACATCATCACGTCTCTACGTTTTACCTGAGCACGTGAGCACGTGAAAGGCAGCAGTCTTGATCAAACAGACAAGTACAACTGTACAAATAACTTAGGAACTCTCTCTCCCTCTCTCTCTCTTTTATTTGCACATTTAAGCAAGGGTATGGTCGTAATTTTATAATTTCGTGTTCACGGTCACGGAAAAGAAAATGTTTTGGTTTTTGCGTAAAGTTTCATTGCCTCCTTGGGATGTGTGAGAAATCTTCGTCTAAAATTTCAAACCAAGTAATGGTATATTAATCAGCAAGCGAAGCCAAACTTCGGTCTATAAATACTTCTCTTCCCTCTGCGTCCGAATTCCGAACAGAGACGGAAGGCACCAAAACTCCTTCCCGACAATGGAGCTCCGGAGAAGTCAAAGAACAAATCATGTATTCTCTCTTCCTTTTTTCCTCCCCTCTATTTTTATTCTATTTTCTCTAATTTTTTACAGCCCTAGAATCCAGGAAAATAATAATTGAAGAAGCTTTTTCATTAGCACTGGTCTTTCGGGTGAATTAAAGTTGTAGTTTTTACTCTTTTTAGTGTCTCTGTTATGTAGGTTATTCGCTTTGGTTTCACGATTCATCTTTAAAGCCTTTTCTCGTTTTCATCTCTCATGATATTTGCCTTCTCATTAACGACATCTCACCTCAAATCCTTCTAAACTTCGATTTTTTTACCCTTTTTTCTTTAATTTTTGGAACAGGAGTTCTTCAGAAGCCATATATTTCATTCCGTTTCCCCTTCTTTATGGCTTTTTCCGTTCACATACCTCGTGTGGCACTTTCCAATCTCCCTTCCTTTGTTGCCTTTTTTAGAGTGGTACTCCCCTACTTAATTTTGCTTTTCATTTAATCTTGTAGATAATTGATGCGGTCTCAGTGCTCCTTGTGCTGGGGCTACTGGCCACACGAGGAGCTGAGTGCAGGAAAGACAGAATTCTTGATTCCTTCGAATACACTGCTGTGAGTTGCAGGGCACACAGCGCGTCATTGACGGATTTCGGAGCAGTCGGCGACGGAGTGACGTTGAACACCAAAGCCTTCCAGGCAGCAATCGATCATCTGAGCCAGTTCGCGTCGGACGGCGGTGCTCAGCTCTTCGTTCCCCGTGGAAGATGGTTGACCGGGAGCTTTAACCTAACCAGCCATTTCACCCTCTACCTTCACAAAGACGCAGTCCTCCTTGCATCTCAGGTTCGTTTCGGTTAACTTACTCCTCCGTTGCAACAATTATGTGTGTTGACCGATACATGTAAATCTGTTACTTCATTCACCAACGGCAAAGCTTTACTCAAGCTGAGCCTGAGCCTGAGCCTGAGCCCGGGAGTTTCCCTGCACGATCTGCCCTTTTTTTGCCACATGGATAAATGAGGTGGATAATCTAAGTCATCCGCCAACTAGGATTACTGTCGATTGACCGAGTCCAGATCTGCTGCCAACCATCGCTTCCAACTTGTCCCAAATTGTTACCCACAAATTGTTCCCACGTTCATACCCACGGAACACCACTGCCATGTACCGGTTACATCTCCCAAGAATGACAAGGGAGATGTATCCGAGCCCTGAATAATAAGAAGGGAGATATTCCCAATGTAAGTGAGGTGATTTGTTGTGAGAGTGTTGGGAGCTTTTAATTCATATCAATTCTTACCCAGTTTACCATTACCTACCCAATCCACACCTCTAATTGGTGTTTTCTACATTCAAAGATTAAGATTTTTATTTTGCCATGTGGCATGTGAATACACAAAGGAAGACATAGAGCTGACGTGGATTATAAGAGACCTCCATAGATGGATGTCTTGGAAGCTTCCTACTTGATCCAATTAGAAAACCACTTCTTTATTAAGTTGAGCATTACACTTCTTTATCAAGTAGGGATGACAATTTCTACCCTATCTAATGGGTATTCGCCCTATTGGGTGGGTTTTATTGTTTGAATGATGGATTTTGAGATTTTACAATCCTTACCAGTATAGATAGAATATGGTATTAGGCAAAAATCTGACCCTCCCCGACTTATATATCGTACCAGTATAGATAGGGTATGGTATTAGACAAAAATCCGACCCTCCTGACCCGTATATAATCAGAAAGCATATGAGCTTTATTTATCAGGTGTTAAATTTAATAATACTTTGAATTTTATATGAAGAATAATTGATGGTTTACGTATTTTTTACATGTCTTAATCAAATGATTAGAATTTTTGTAGTTTGTTTATGTTATTTTACTTATTTATTGCATATATGTAACGGGAAACAATAAGAAATTAGATTCAGATTCTAAATCCAACCCACTTTACCCTTGAATGTGAGAAGAGTTTTATGTTTTCATATGCTGGGAAGGTTTGGATTCTCAAAATCCAACCCACTACAGGTCTTAGGGCAGATACCAGTTTGGAGGTTTAGGGAAGCAGATAAGGTTAAAGATTTACAAAACCCTACCTAATATCAAGCAACACCTCTGATATTGAGGCTTTTTTTTTCTTAAACTGTATTATGTTTTTTCAAATTTTCTTTGCAATTTGAAGGAAAAAAATAAGGAAAGAAAGAGAAATATAAGAAAATTTTTACAAACCTTGTATTGAAAATATCTCCATACTTAATTGTTTTTATTTATAAGAGATATTTAAAATGCACAGCTGCTGCAAGGGGCTGTGAGGACCAAATTCGAATTCCTAACGAGCTTAGGTTGAGCCTTCACCTAACTCGACCAGTAAAGGAAATATTGCGTTCTAGATGATGAAATAACCGGAACTTTCTTCCGTATGAAAATTTGAAAGAATTAGCATTGCTTTCGGATGATGACTGCCTTTTTTCTTCCCTACAATGATGACTGGGTTTGTCATTGCACCTGACTTTCACTTTCCTTTTAGTTGTTAAACAAAAACAAAGGAAATTGAAACTGCAGCGAGGGGCCCAACCCTCCAGTTGGGCTAAAAGTCACATTGGTATGCGAGGCCTGACTCAGCCCTCTAATAAATGATGGGACTCATCAGCGCAATATAGAGAGTGCAAGCTTTGGTTTGGTCAATCCAAGCGCTAGCCCAACTCTAGCTCATGTCCAAGTCAAGGAGAACCTGATATCCATAGCCACGGCCCATAGAGGATGACCGATGACATTCACTCAGACACCAAATTTCCCTGGATTATGTAGTGATTTCTGATCAAAGAAATTTGAGACCATTTTTGTTGGTCGTTTTCCTTGACTACCGAAAAAATATCACACAAAGAATTAACATTGATTTTTATAAACTTTTCTTTCTCAAATACAAGAATCCTGTATGTGAGCTGAAAGCATTATCAAACCTGGGACTCCTTTGATAAATGATACTGTGATGGAATGTAACTCGGTCCACATAACATGAACTTTGGCTGTGGGCCTATACAAGAGCTTGACCAGCACATGGATATGGCTGAAGTCAACACAAACAATGAACCAAGAGGTTGAAAAGATCCCTACTTTTTGTGGGTTGGTCGATGATATTGGTTTTTCTTTTATTTGCAAGATGGACCAAAGGATACTTTCCTTTTCCTACCACCACTTTGTATTGTTTGCGGTTTGGTCAATGAGAAAAGTTCATTTCACATTGGAAAAAGTGTTTATGGTTCGGGTCTCCTCTTCATAGTTAGCAACTTACCGTGTTACAAATTAAAATTTCTGACTAAAATGCTTACTTGGGTCAGGACGTGAGCGAATGGCCTCTGATCGAGCCCTTACCATCCTACGGTAGGGGAAGGGACGCACCAGGTGGAAGGTACATCAGTCTCATCTTTGGAACAAACCTCACCGATGTTGTAATTACAGGTAATATATCTTATCTATATAAATTAGGCTTTGCCTCCGTCATTTTTTTCGGTTACCTAGCGCTTGTTCTGTTGTGTGGTTGGGAAAAGGTGTGTCATCTCAAAACGATTTCAAGAAAAGGTGTGTCAGCCCCCACCTGATTGCTCCCCACAACTTTCTACAGCCCCTCAGCCGTGTATTGTGAATATCTCCTAATAAAGACATCACTATTTTTAATATCATCGTCGGAAAATGTTTCTAATACACAGCAAGAATGTGCTGTGCGACGTTGTGGGAGACAATGGGGGCTGATTTGTTCTCTCTCAAAACACACCACTATATAGTGTGCGTTTAGAACCATGGTTGGTTCTAGAACATACCAGTCGTTTTGTTGGATGTAGTATGGTGTGTTCCGGGATGAGACAACAAATTATATGTTCTTCATTGTGGTGTGTTTTTAATAGAATATGTTAATGGGTGATACATAATTGATATCAATACCATTGATCATGTTTTTAATACCATTGATCCTGCTTTTAATACATATTTTCAACATGTATGTTATATGAGTCACATTTTACAATTAATCAAAATAATTTTAAAATCAATTTATACAAATAAAGCATCATATATAAAATCAATGTTTAAAAACCAATCCATATGCTAAATCGTTTTTTGCCTTTGGGTCGCAATCCACACTGGTTCAACCATTATATATATATATATATATATATACACATACATAATTTATCAATAAATAATGCATAATTATATTTTACATGTAATACATCTATTGTTTTATATTTTAATTTAGTTTTTAATTTTTATTTGTAAAAAATATTGAATTTGTAATTTGAGGAAAAAAGTGTTTTTTTCACAAAAATAGTGGGGCAAGGCGCCTTGGGACATGTAGATCTCAAAAAGTTAACAAAAATAAAAAAAAAATCATTCCAATTGGATATCAAAGCACAAAGTTATGACTTTTAGAAGTTTACATACACATTTAATGTGCAACCCGTGACCTGATCATCGGGTTGAATGGGCCAACTATCCAACTGCCTGGGTTGAATGGTTTTTCACTAAGTCAACAATTTTTGACCAATTCCCAGGTTTTAGTACAACTAGACCCTAAATCATGTCTAGGTGATAATTTGAAATAGATAAACGGATTGTATTAAGATTATGTTCAACAAAATCTAAATATGATTAGATTATTGAAAATTTGCATCTAAATCCAACCTGAAGTCTAATTAGATTTGAAGATATCATATTCGGATTCGAATCATAACGGACTCGGGTCAGATTTGGATTCTGCTTTAATTTTTTAAAATAAAAAAATAGAAAGGTAATTACTTTTCAACTTTTATATATAATAAATTAATGTATATATAATATACTAAATTTATTATATATAAATTTATATATAATATAATATATAAAATATATTTTTGATAGTTTTAAATATAACCATATAAATTTAATTAAACATAATAAAAATCATATAAGTATCAAGGATAGTTTAATAATTAATTAAAAATAACAAAGTGTCACAAATCTACAAGAGAGAGATAGAGAGAGAATGGTGGCAACGGACCAACATTAAACTGGTGGAAGGCTTGAAATAATGGGTTGAGAAGAATCAATAAAATATTGAGAATGGGTGTAGCTCGTTCCAAAACACAAAAAAATGGTGTGGCTAGAATGGCACAATATTTTGTGTTCCAAAACCAGTTATAGCTCATTTTGGAAAGTGACATGGGATTAAACGAATGCCTTCAATTTATTCCATCTATGTTCTTTTGATTATAAAATATAGGGCAATTTTGTAATTGACAAACTACACGCTTATTATTTATCTATTGTCTTAGAGTACCCCTACTGTTTCCGACAATTGTCTAAAACCTCTTTACCATTATCAACATTAACGGAATGATGAAAAAGACTATTTTACCCATTATTTTATTTCAAATTTTCACAATGAAAGAGAAAAAAGAGGGGAGAGGGAAGGAAGAGAGAGAGAGGGAGGGAGTGTGGTTGCCTTCTAGTGGATCTGCAACTGGGAACAAAGGATGCACCTGAACGGATCTAATGGTCTGCAGCCATGGACGTCTTGGGTTCTCCCTTGGAAGCAATCGAATAACAAAAGCAGAGAGAGAAATCAGAGTTCTCTAACCAATGGCCTATTCAATTCGAATAACAAAGCTCTCTTTTCCGTTTGTTTTTCGGCACCAAAATCACCACTGCCATTGCAACTTACGGCAGCAACAATGATCTTCTTCTTCCTCCCCCCTCCTTCACCTCTACTTTTGGATCTACCAAAATCACTATTGTCGCTACAACTTCCAACAACGACGGTGATCTTCTTCCTCCACTCCCTTCCCCTCTTCGTTCTCCCTTTCTGATGAATCGATTTTTGGTTGATGGCCAATTTTTTGGCTAAGTACCTCGTCATTTGGTCTGCTTTCAAGTGGTTGATGACTCAGGCGGAAGTGAACTTTGGCTGTTGAGCTGAGTCGAGCTGGGCAGGCTAGGTGGTGAGCTGACTATAGTGCCGAATTGCCTATGAGGTGCCGAGTTGACCAGGTGGTGAGCTGCCTATGAGGTGCCGGGCTGACTAGGTGGCGAGCTACCTGTGAGGTGCCGAGTTGACCAGGTGGCGAGCTGCCTGTGAGGTGCTGGGTTGACCAGGTGCCGAGCTGCCTGTGAGGTGTCGGGTTGACCAGGTGCCGAGCTGAATTGATGAACTTCGTTGCTCTTTAGAGACCTGGAAGGAACCAAGTGTAAGAGGACCCAGGGTGGCTAACTCGGCGAGGTCGCTCCGATGCTTAAGTCAGTATTCTCATAGTAGACTGCGAGCTAGAACTTGCTTACTTGCTTGCCTGCTTGCCATTGGGATTGGTGCCTTTATATAGGCATTGTTTGGCGTGGGCTTCATGCACCATATCCGAGATTTCTGCGAGGTCGTCTAAGTGGTTCGAGATTCCTGGAGGTAACCGCCATGCACGTTGACCACCCTCCGGAT